ACCCAGGCCGTCATACCCAGGCCGCTCCACCCGTCTGCAGTGGCTACTGTTCGTCACAGCTCTCCAATCTAGCTCCAAGATAACTGCTCTAACCCAGCTGTGGGAATTCCCCTTAGTCTTGATAGAGATGGTTTCAGGGTGCTATGTGACCCAGGAATGCTAATGACTCATGAAGAGAGCCTGCTTGCAGTGCAGTTCTTCCTCCCTCCCCCACTCTCCTCCCTTCCTTTCTTTTTCCTGTATGTGTGTGTGTGTGTGTGTGTGTGTGCACGCATGTGTGTGCACTCGCTATGGTGGAGGTCAGGGAACAGCTTGCGAGAGCCAGTTCTCTTCTTCCACCATGTGGGATCTGGAGACCAAACTTGGGACGTTAGGGTTGGTGGCAAGCACCCTTCCTACTGAGCTGTCTTGGGAGCCCTGCTTCAGCTTTCTGGAGAGGATCTTGATCCTCTTGCCTCTGCCTCCCGTGTGCTCCCCCATATCCAGCTTCTGCTTAGCCCTTTGGTGGAGCCGCCCTCATTTCTCAGAAGCAACTAGAAGGGACAGCACTTCTTCACCTGAGCAGCCCTGAGCTTAGATGTGATTCTCAGAACTGTGGGAGCTGTCATGTGACCATGAAGGAAGTCAGCCTGAAGATTTTCATACTGAGGGCCAGAGAAACCAGATAAGAATCAACTCATAACGGATCAAAGCCTGTAACAGAAGACCTACAACTTTGATATTGTTAAAGGAGAATATAGGTTAGACTCATACGGGCATAGGCAAGGACTTCCTGAAAAGGACGCCAAATAACACAGGAAATATACCAAAAGCTGATAACGAGATTAAGTGAAATTAAAAGGTTTCTGAAAGTGGGGTGGTGGTGTCACATGCCTTTAATCTCAGCACTCGGGAGGCATAAGCAGGCAGATCTTTGAGTTCAAGACCAGCCTGGTCTACAGAGTGAGTTTCAGGATAGCCAGGGCCACACACAGAGAAACACTACCTCGAAAAGCAAAACAAAAGAAAAAAAGAAAGCAAAGAAAGTTTCTGCATACCAAAGGAAACAATCCCCAGAGTGAAGAGACAGTCACCAAATGTTGCCAACTGCATATCAGAGAGGGAATTACTATCCAAGATACATAAAGAGCTGCAGAGACCCTCCACCAGTGAACAAGCCGTCTAGTCTGCGAATAAATGAACAATTGTCAAAAGAAACATGGAAATGGTCAAAAGTATATGGGAAAATACATGCTACTACAGAATATAACAGTTTCTTTTCTTTTCTTTTTTTGGTTTTTTGAGACAGTCTTTCTCTGTAGCTTTGGATCCTGTCCTGGAACTAGCTCTTGTAGACCAGACTGGCCTCAAACTCACAGAGATCCACCTGCCTCTGCCTCCCGAGTGCTGGGATTAAAGGTGTGCACCACCACTTCCCAGATATAACAGTTTCTTTTATGACTCAGTTTATTAAAATAGCTTAAGCTTAACAAAGTTAGCAAAGACAAAGAGGCCAGACATAAATTCTTTTTTTTTTTTTTTTTTTGGTTTTTCAAGGCAGGGTTTCTCTGTAGCTTTAGAGGTTGTCCTGGAACTAGCTCTTGTAGCTGGCCTCGAACTCACAGAGATTCACCTACCTCTGCCACCCGAGTGCTGGGATTAAAGGCGTGCGCCACCACCGCCCGGCTCAGACATAAATTCTTAACATAAACAGACCTTAGGTAAGGAGAGACATTCTCTAAGCCAGTGGTTATCAGCTTTCCAGGTGCTTCAGCCCTTCAGTATGGTCCCCATGTTGTGGTGGCCCCCATGTTGTGGTGACCCCCCCAATAACAAAATCATTCCCGTTGCTTTTTCACAACTGCAATTTTGCCATTGTTATGGATCTCAAAGCAAACATTCAACATGCAAGTGGTCCTGGGCTACCCCTGTAAAAATGTCCTTCAACTGCAAAGGGTTGAGGCTCAGGTTGAGAAGCTGCTCCAAGCTCTTTGCCAGACTGTGTAGGTTGGTATCTTGCTGCATCGTAAGACAGAAACGTCCCCATTTTGGGTGTTTAGTATTTGGTGCTCATAGATATGACCTTAATTTCTAGCCTTTTATTTATTTTAAAGTTCAAATATCAATAATGTAAAACATTTTATAAATTTAAAATGTCCAATGGCCTTAAAATTTAACTATTCCTTAAAAATTTTGTAGTTTTCCCAATTTTCTGTAAAACTCTAAAAATTTCCTCTTAAAGTTTAAAATCTCTCAACTATGTGTTCCTGCAATATCAAAAATAATGGACTTGTTTTTTGTTTTTTTTTAACTTCACGAGGGAGAAAACAGGGCAAGCTCTGCATAAGGCAAAATCAAGCTCCAACACTGCAAACCATCCAAAGCCCAATTTCTGGGAACTCATTCACAATCCTTTTGGTGTTCTCAGGCGGCTTGGATCACCTCTTTAGCCCCACCCTTGGCAGTATATACATAACCTGCCTTTTAGATCTCAGCCTGCTCCATTTCATCATGGCAGGTGCTTCTGTGACTATTACAGGGCACTAGTGTTTCCAAAACCACAAAGGTCTACCCACCACTGCAACTGGGCTCTCTTTAGGACCTCTGGTCCTGCTACGTGTTTGCAAGCCTCAGCTGTTCCCCAGGACCCCTTCATGTCTTAAAAACCATTATCACCTGGGTGATTCTTACATTACAAAGTTGGGCTGCTAGTAGAAGATACATTCTTGCATATGAGAGCAAGGAGGTGCAGCTCTGATACCTTATTAAATAACAGTGCTTTTTAAGCCTATCTTTTATAAACCTTATTTTCGGGACAGAACAGGAATTATCATACAAAAATTCACCCTAGGGGCTGGAGAGATGGCTTAATAGTTTAGGGCACTCAGTGCTTTTCCAGAGGTCCTGAGTTTTCAATTCCCAGCAACCATATGGTGGCCCACAACCATCCATAATGAGACCTGGTGCCCTCTTCTGGCCTGCAGACAGACATACAGAAAGAACACTTTAAATCAATAAATTAATAAATCTTTTTTTTTCTTGGATTTTTTTGAGACAGGGTTTCTCCATAGCTTTTTTGGTTCCTGTCCTGGAACTAGCTCTTGTAGACCAGGCTGGCCTCGAACTCACAGAGATCCGCCTACCTCTGCCTCCCAAGTGTTGGGATTAAAGGCGTGCGCCACCACTGCCCGGCTTTAATAAATCTTTTTTAAAAAGTGTTTAAAAAATTTGCCCTGGGGGGCTGGAGAGATGGCTCAGTGGTTAAGAGCATTGCCTGCTCTTCCAAAGGTCATGAGTTCAATTCCCGGCAACCACATGGTGGCTCATAACCATTTGTAATGAGGTCTGCTGCCCTCTTCTGGTCTGCAGACATACACACAGACAGAATATTGTATACTGTATACATAATAAATAAATAAATATTTAAAAAAAAAATCTGCCCTGCCGGGCGGTGGTAACACACACCTTTAATCCCAGCACTTGGGAGGCAGAGGCAGGTGGATCTCTGTGAGTTCGAGGCCAGCCTGGTCTACAAGAGCTAGTTCCGGGATGGGCACCAAAGCTACAGAGAAACCCTGTCTCGAAAAAACCAAAAAATAATCTGCCCTAATCCAAAATAACGTGGAGACCATAAGAGGATTTTGCCAATGTCGTCGGACATTGTGGCACATATTGGGGAGACTGTAGCAGGAGGATCACAGATGGAAGACCAACCTGAGAAACATAGCGTCTTAGAAGGAAAGAATTTGCAAATGTAATTAAGAGTCCTATTGGTTGACATCATGATAGCATGTGTGCGTGCGTGTGTGCATGCGTGTGTGCATGTATGTGTGCGTGTGTGTGCATGTGTGTGCATGTGTGTGTGCATGTGTGTGTATGTGTGTGTGCATGCGTGTGTGCATGTATGTGTGTATTTCTTTTGAGACAGCGTCTGTCTACATAGCCCTACTATCTTGGAACTCACTATACACACCAGGCTGGCCTCAAACTTACCAAGACCCACCTGGCTCTGCTTCCTGGGACTAAAAGCATGTACCGCCATGCCTGGCTCTGTAAGAGTATCCTTGATGGCCTGGCCTAATCAGATAAGCCGTGAAAAAGGACCAGAATCTTCCTGGCAAAGCAGGCACAAAGTGTGAAGCAATTCAACACAGGGGCATTCTCTGATACTGATTCTTTTTTTTTTTCTGTTTATTTATTTATTTTAATTTTTTTGGGTTTTTTTGTTTATTTTTTTAGTTGTGAAAAAAATTTTTTTCTGCCTCCTCCCCGTTTCCCATTTCTCTCCCCCTCCTCCCACACATCGCCCCCTCCCCCACTTCCCCTCCCCCTCTGATACTGATTCTATTTTGTTATTTTTTTAAATTAATTTATTTATCTTATATAATGTTTTACCTGCATGCATGCCTGATGCCCACAGAGGCAGTCAGAGCTCCTGGACTTGGAGTTCCAGAGAGTTCTGAGTTGTCATGTAGGTGTGGGACTAGAACCTGGATCCTTTGGGAGAGCAGCAAGTGCCCTTAACTGCTGAACCATTCTTCCAGTCCCGATGCTGGCTTTAAAGGAAGCAGGTGACCAGAAATGTAGGAGTCACATGTAGCCTGTAGTTGACGGCCAAGAAAGAAGTGAGGACATCTGTCCTGCGGCTACATGGAGGTGATTTCTGAAGGGACTTGGGAGGGGATGCCCCTTCAGAGTGGGAACTCAGCCTGAACTTCAGTTTTTTGACAGTCTGGGTAACTCTAACCCTGAACACCAAATGTTTACCTGTGGGTTTGTGCAGCCGTGAATATGGTTTTAGGGGGACATTGTTTTAGGGTGCTCAGCGTGTGGTAATACAGCAGAAGAAAACAGCATGCTTTCTGATAGACTGTAAGACTGTGCCGTAGGAGCCTTCTCCTCAGCCAGCTCCCCAGTTGCTAGGATGCCACGTCATGGTTCTGCCAGGCTTTCCGTAAAGCCTGTGCCCCTCGGACCCAGGAGGGAGTTTGACCTTTCATGCTTCAGTGAACTTTGCCCAGACCTATTGATCTGCCCTCCTGGGCAGGCAGTGGGACCATCGACGACAACATGAGGGCTCTGTGGCTCCTGGGGTCCCTGCTGATGAGCCTGGATTTGACACTTTCGGTGAGGGCTGTGGACGCTAGGATTGGACCAGGATGGTACCGAGGGGTCCTTGTCCCAGCTCTGGCCTCTGCCTATCACCTGCTAGTTCAGGTGACTGGGAGACGTGTGTGGGGGAAAGGCACGGCCAGCCCAGCAGGCCCAGACAAAGGAGAGAGCAGCCCACACTGGGGGATATGACAACACAGGCTACATTTGTAGGGGAGACAATGGGAAGAGGGAGGAGGGTCAAGTCTTGTGAGGAAATCCTGTACTTTGGGGAGGTGGAAGGAGGTTGGGGCCTAGCATAGGATCGAGGAAATTCTGATGCTCCTGCCTGCTGTCCTCTGTAGGCCCCACCATGGAAAGGACCTAAGGAATTCAAGCACGGCCTTGACGAGCCCACTGTGGGTAAGTGATGTGCTCTTCTTCCTAATCTACACTGCCGGGGTTGAGTGTGCTTTAGCCTGTGTGGTCTATGCAGCCTCAGGCCTCTGGCAGAGGAGGGATCCTGAGTAGAGCTGTTCAGAAGACCTGCAGACCTGAGTAGGGCGTACAGATCCATAGCAAGCTGTATGCTCAGAGGGCAGGGCTTGGTCTGTACTGGATGCCTCTCTTAGAGCCTGGCAGGTGCTTGGTGGCGGGTGGCGTGGGGCGGTTTGCTATGGGTGCCATCACACCTGGACGCTCACCAGTCTTCCTTAGTGTCCCCGTATTCCCCCCTTTTCCTTACAACACCTCTGGAAGATGTCAGTCATCACTGATGGAGCTCAGACCCTCCGTGGTAATGGGAGCCAGATCAGGGCTTCAGACTCGCCTAAGGTCACAAACACCCTGGTTGCCTGCAAACCCTCCCTTTCTCACTTGTGAATTTCCTGTGTGGGCTTCGCGTTCCCTGTCTGTAAAACTAGACAGGTAATAGTGAGTCCCTCAGGGTTACTGCTAAGGAGAAAGGAGTCGCTGATCCTGGTAAAGCGGTCACCCAAAGGCAGGAAAATGCCTCTAAAGCCTCAGCTCTGACTTAGCCTAGGGCTGTAGCTCACCCGTAGAGCACTTGCCCGACAAGTACACAGCCCTGGGTTTGAGCCACAGCACAAAATGATAAGAAGTTCCTAACTCTTAGAACACTCCACTTAGGTGATGAACCCTACCCTGGTGAGCTACATCTGGTGAAGCCAAGCTGAGGCTTGCGGCATGATGCCTCACAGTGAGGCCCAACACAGTGTGAGCCTCTAACCTTCCTCCCAACCTCATACTAAGCCAAACAGCTGCTGCCCCTTTCAACCTGACCCAGCAGTGGTCCCCTGCCCTAAAGGTCCAGGATCCTTGTCTTTTGTTGCCTTGTTGCTCAACGCCACTAAAAACAGACTTGGAGCAAATGTTTGTTGACTGTGTCCTAGGCGCTGGGCTCAGTGGTCCCAGCACTGCCACTGTCACTCATCCTCCAAAGTAGATAGCTCTTCTTTTTGAGATTACAATCCTATTTCCCCTTTCCCTTTCCTCCCTCCAACACAGTTATTTTTTCTAATTAATTATATTCTCTATAGCAGATTCTCAAATTTTATGAGGTTCCCGTGGACCTCTGACTGCGACATTTTCATCAGTTACTGACATGTAACCATGTTTCATGTGTGATTTTGTTCAAAGGCATCATATTCAGTGTGCATGTTGTTGCTCCCTCAGCGCTGACCTCTTGGCCAATAGCATGGTTATCGCCTGCCTGAACAAGGCATCTCTGACTCAGTTTCTCCCTAAGGTCCAAGACAGCTTCTTGTGGCAGGAGCTCTAGATAACACTTCAGCATGCGCAGAAGCACATCTTCCCTTCTTTTTCCTTGAAGTTCTGGGGATTGGTGCTAGGCAAGTGCTTGACCGCTGAGCTAAAACCCTAGCGCTCTTTAAAAAAAAGAAAGGAAGAAAAGAAAACTGGGCTGGGCATGGTAGCGCATTCAAAAAACAAAATAAAAGCTGCTGGGCAGTGGCAGCACAAGCCTAATCCCCCCTAATCCCAACACTCAGGAGGTAGAGGTGGGAAGATCTCTGTGTGTTTGAGGCCAGCCTGGTCTACAGAGTGAGTTCCAGGGTAGCCAGGACTGTTACACAGAGAAACCCTGTCTCAAAAAACAGAGAGAGGAGAGAGGGGGGGGGGGGAAGAGAGAGAGAGAGAGAGAGAATGGGAGGGAGGGAGGGAGGGAGGAAGGGAGGGAACAAAGGAGGGAGGGAGGAAAAATATCGTGCTACATGGATGTCGGGAAGGATATTCAGGGTAAGAGCTGAAAGAGGGCAGAGCGCTGCCTTGTTGGGTTTCGGCTGGGTGTGTGTGCACATTTTTACTGATGCATACAGTTTCATTAAGACCATGGAAGACTGCAAGGGCTTGGTAGTTTGTTTGGTTTTTGTTTTTCCTTGTGATATCGTGCACATGTTAGGCAAACACTACTGCTAATCTATACCCTCAACCTGAATCACAAATATTGGTTTACGGGTTACAAAGAAATTCTTACACAAGGCAGGCAGATTTGCACACACAAAGCCCGGGAACCATGAGGATTGGCAGTCCTATTACTGTTGCCATTTTACTAATGAGTCAAAAAAACGGTAAGTGGGCTGGAGAGATGGCTCAGCGGTTAAGAGCATTGCCTGCTCTTCCCAAGGTTCTGAGTTCATTTCCCAGCAACCACATGGTGGCTCACAACCATCTGTAATGAGGTCTGGTGACCTCTTCTGGCCTTCAGGCATACACACAGAATATTGTATACATAATATATATATATATATTAGTTATAAAATTTTTTTAAAAAAACTACAAAAAAAACGGTAAGTGACCTAAATGTTTATTAAGTGGCAACTTTGTGACAAGCTCTTGGGTTTCAGACTTGACCCGAGGGCACAGAGCTTGTGAGGGTTTGAGGCAGAAAGCCATTCCACCTGTTTGACTCTGGAAGACTGTTCTCTAAGCGGGGTGCAGTCTTGGATGTAGAGTGCTCTCTTTGAGGACTCTCCTCTCTCCAGCCAGGCCCCATGAGGCACAGCATGGGCAGCTGGGCATAGGGTAGGCTTCAGAGGTGTGTTATTCCCACAGTTCTCACCGTTGATGGGAACCTCTGCCACTTTCCCTTCCTGTACCACCGCCGTCTGCACCACAGATGCATCCACAAAGGCGGGCCGGGCCGGTCCTGGTAAAATTTCTCATGGGGGTTGGAGGAGGGGCCTAGAGAAAACGGATTCTGCCTGTCTATCATCTGCCTAAGAATTGTGTTTGGGCAAAAGGGTGCACGTGTGTGTGTGTGTGTGTGTGTGTGTGTGTGAGCGTGTGTGTGCACTAGTCAGCCTTCAGGCAAAGCAGAGAAGTCTCATTTGTTTCCCCAGGTGTGCCATCACTCCTAACTTTGACCAGGACCAGCAGTGGGGATACTGCTTGGAGCCCAAGAAGGTGAAAGGTACTGCATGCAACCCATGGCCCAAGGCTGCCTCCTGCCCTTCACTCTATTCCCACCCACCTACTAGGTATCATCAGACCCCACACACTTGGGATTCTAGGTCCAGCCTCTTCCCTTCTCCTACAGCATCCTTTCAAAGGTCAGAGGGAGAATTCTGGGAAAAGAGACCACCATTTTACAGATGAATTTAAGGACCGGAAACTTGGGGTTCCATGGTTCTATGACAAGCAGGTTCAGGCTGGGGCTTGAACCCTTCACGTGTCACTCAGACTCCCTGTTCTTCCTTCCGGTGTCTGTCTGTCTCTCAGACCACTGCAGCAAACACAACCCCTGCCACAAAGGAGGGACGTGTGTGAACACCCCCAATGGCCCCCACTGTCTCTGCCCAGAACACCTTACTGGGAAGCATTGCCAGAGAGGTAAGGAGAGCTGCCTGCCCAGGAGAGGTCCCTGGAACCCTAGAAATTTGCATGGTCCCACTGTCCTCTTTTTGTCCCCCAGAGAAGTGCTTTGAGCCTCAGCTTCTCCAGTTCTTCCACGAAAATGAGATATGGTTTAGAACGGGGCCAGCAGGTGTGGCCAGGTGCCAATGCAAGGGTCCTGGCGCCCACTGCAAGCCGCTGGCCAGTCAGGGTAAGTGGGTGTGTAGCGACTGTGGGGAGGAGGGCAGAAAGTCAGGAGCCCCTGGT